CTCAGTCACTAGCTGTTCTGAAGCTCACATAAGATGCATCTAGGTTACAAAAATGGCAGAAATGGACCCAACAGTATCCGTGTGGCCTATTCCCATAACTTGAGTTTTTTCTTCATGTCTGAATTCTAGTGTCTTGTGACACATACACAAGACAGAGAGCATCAGAACTGTCACACAGATCCAGTGATTAATATACACTTAGAAATAACTGAGTAGGCAGGGTCTCAGACTGAAGTGCCTATAAGCACATGTGAGAATTACGGGCAGGCCACAGTTGCCTGGCATTTACATGGATGCTGCAAATAGAAACTCTGCCCCTCATACTTATGTGTGAAATGGAGGACAAACACCCAACTGTTCACATTACTCAGGAATAAAAACTTGGGTTTATAACACTAGGGAGGCCACTAAGGCCTGGCAAGATGATGGTGGAGGGGGACTGACATTGCCATCTATCTTGGGGCTTTGATTGGGCGCATTTTCTCCACCAGCTAAAGAATTAACAGGAAAACTTTTGTGCATGACACATAGCAGAAGAGAAAACCCCAAGCACAGCTGACAAAATCAGCTGATGAAGAGGTGATTTTTATTAGGGTGAGGAAATACTTGCACATATGGCCAGGGCACAGAGAAGTACCCAGATTTGGGAATCTGAAAATCCAGTCTCTCGAGAGGCAGAGGTTTGATAGCGCTCAAGAGGACTTCCTCTTCTGATTTAGTGTTGGTTGGTTTAAATAAAGACAGGCTGCTTGTAGAGTTGGCATGGCATAACAGAAGAACTCCGGGACACCCTATGGTAACAAGTCACAAAGCAATCTTAGATGTGATAAAAATATTCATTTTGACTGAAGCAGTATGTACAGATATGCATGCATGTTTACCAAAACTCAGCAAACTATACAAAAAATGGGATGTATATCAATGTCTTAGAGCTGTTTCTAAAGAGCAGTTCATTTTCTATTTTGGAAGACAAATGAGGTAACATATCCTATTTCCCTTTCCAAAACCCTTCTGATTTTATTCCCTTAAGAAACTCAAGTTTTCCTGGGGTCTGTTCCTATCTCTACAGACAGTGAGATTTCTAAAATAAAAGTGGTAATGGCACTCCTAAAATAACATCCTTTTCTTTTCACATGACTTAGTCAAGGTTCAGGCTGCAAAACAAACCCAGTAACAGAGAGGCGTCTATTTCATGGCTCAGGCTTTACACACCTGCAAGAAATGGAGTCTTCTGAGGTGCAGTTGTGGCCACTGGCTGCCTTCTGGTGCTGGGGTTTGAAACGCAGAACAGGTGCAGGGAACAGAAGACAACTGCGACGTTCCAGTAGTCAACCAGAAGCCACAGACATAAGAACTGAAACTTTGACTAGTTCCTGTTTTTTTATTTTGATGGCATGGGCAGGAGCTAGCTAGGGTCATTCAGTGTCATGAGGCCAAAGGCATACCTTTGCAGGATTCAGAACTCACAGAAGAAAAAGCAGTTACAGGCTCACCCACTGACTCACATTAGATTCGATAAAATCTTTCATTACATTCATAAAAAAATCTGTTAAGAAAAAAGAAATCTGTTATGACAAACCCTGAACAAAAAGCAGTGAATGCTGAGAAACAGTTCAGCCCAGCCCCATGGACACATTACGAATCTTCTTGTTGTTTTCTCATTTACTTATTTTATTCAGTTTACATCCTTGTAGCCACTTCCCTCCTCCCCTCCCAGTCCTACCTTTTCTCCCTCTCCCCACCCCTTTTCCTATCCACCTTAGGACTCAGCATGTGCACTTGCCCTGTGGCCTGGCAACACAATCCTGCCAGGGGAAAGTGATCTAAAAGCTAGCAAGTGAGTCCCTGTCCAATACAGTACCCCCTTCCCTTACTAAAGTACCCACTTGAAGCCTAATCTGCCCATCTGCTACACCTTTGTAGGGACCCTAAGTCCAGTTCCTGCATGGTCCTTGGTCGATGCTTCAGTCTCAGCAACGCTGTCTGGGCCTTGGTTAGTTGGCTCTGTAGTTTTCTTGTGGAACTCCTGTCACATGCAGGTCCTTTTCTCTTTCCTCTCACTATTTGCCAAGACTCCCTATGCATAGACCAATGTTTGACTGTGAATCTCAGCATTTGAGGTGCTGCTGGGTAGTCTCTCAGAGGTCAACTCTAACAGGCTCTTGTCTGCAGGCTTAGCAGAGTCTTAGCAGAGTATCGTTCACAGTGTCAGGGATTGGCCCTCTCAGATAGGGTAGGTCTCTGGTTGGGCCAGGCATTGGTCGGGTATTCCCTCAATATCAGCTTTATAAATCTCACTTGGAAGGGGATATTGAATTATCAGAGGTAGTGGCTGAAGAGAGGAAACAAGATAGGAGAGGGGGGTGTAGAGTTAAGAGAGTGGAGATCAGACCTGAGGAAAGTAAGGGCAAGAGGACAGGCCTGTAGAGAAAAGAGAAACTAAGAATGGGGACATTTTTGTGACAAGCTGGGAGAAAATGATGATTCAAGCAGAGACTCATAGTAGCAGAGGCTGTAGAGACCGAAGAGGACACCCTCTAACTAGACTAGTCTTCCAGTAAAGGATAGGGATACCAACCCATCCACAGAAAATTCAACCCAAAATTTACCCTGCCTATGAGATGTGCAGGAATAAAGACAGACCATTTCAAATCTTAAATACTTTCTTTCCCTCACTTCCTTAAAATTTGCAGGGTTCTGACTCAACAGCTAACTGATGACATTATCTCCCAATCTCCTACCTCAGAGTACATTGGATTTATGTTCAGAACAAGTGCGCTAACATCTAGAACTTTCTACATTGAATCCCTTCAGGCTGGAACATCCTTGCTCTCTCAACTTCCCCTTAACCTGAGATTTGTTGGAACAAATCAGCTTCCTTTAGCTCTTTTCTAACACATATTTTTTCCTCTGGTGACCATACAAAGCACCCAGTAAGTTCCCAGCTGAGTAAATACATGTTAAAAGTGATTACAGTGTTTGTGCATTAAAGGAGGGAGAACTAGTCAGTCAATGTAAATAGCCTGATAAAATTAATCAAAATTTATAATGCTTGTACTTGGGAGTTCACAGCCTGCTTGTTCTTCATGACAAATTTGAGGTCAGTTGGAACTACATAGAAAATTTGGAGCCAGCTTCTGCTGCAAAGTGAGACCCTATTTTTCTTCTTCTTCTTTTTTAAATTGAAAAACTAATCACCGAGATGGCTCAGTAAGAAAAGGTGCTGCCGTGTAAGCCTGAAGACATAGGTTTGATCTCTGGAACTGACATAAAAGTGCAAGGAGAAAACCACCTTGACCAAGTTGCCCTCTGACCACCACTGTGGGACATGCATCCACAGACATGCCCCCACTCTAATACACTCACACACAGATTTCAAAGAAAGTGAAAAGGACAGGGGCTGGAGAGATGACTCAGGAGGTAATAGACTTGCTGCTCCTGCAGAGGACCTGAGTTTGGTTCTAAAGACCAACACAGTGATTCACAACCATCCATAATTCCAGTTCCAAGAAATCTGGTGCCCTGCTCTGACCTTCCTGCACAGAAGGCACACACATGACGCACAAACATTTATATGCAGGGAAACACTCATATAGATTATTTTTAAAATCTAAAAAAATTAAAGAACTAAATGTTTTCATACTACTCATTTGTACAGAAAGGCATATAGCCATTTATCCTATCTTACTGTCTCATGTGTAAGCCACTGAGAAAGCGGAGCCCCAAAGGCAGCATTTGGCAGATGACTCAAGGGATGGGGATAACACCATGAACTCAGGACAGGGACAGAAAGCTGTTAATGGTGTTACTGAGTAGGGGAAATGCTGTGGGCAGCTGGATGAAGGCCTGTGGGTCTGCATGGAAATGAGGCACTTACTCAGCAAAGAGGTTAAAGCCCTGCCCACCAAATGCTTTCCTGGCTGGTTGTCACCCCTGGGGAATTGCTTCCTTGGCTTAAGAGAAATCCCTGAGGCAGGAAAGTAGAGGGTAGACTGACTCTGACAGTGGGAAGCGGGGAGGGCAGTCACAGCCACAAAATCAGAGGCAGACTGAGGGGAGGTGGCTTAATTTACCAAGAGTTTTTCAAAAGATCTTTATGTCCATTTACCATAGCAGAAATACAACCAGACTAAGAAATGCCAATAAGAAAAGCAGGGCTGTTGTATCATGCACTTTAATCCCAATACTTGGAGGGCAGACTCAGGTGGATCTCTGTGAGTTCAAGGCCAGCCAGGTCTACACAGTGAGTTTCAGAATTGCCAGGGCTACTTGAGAAACCCTGTCTCAAACAAAAAGGAAGGAACGAAGAAAGGAAGGAAGGGAGGGAAGGAAGGGGGAAGGAAGGGGGGAGGGAGGGAGGAATCGAGGAAGGAAGAAGGAAGGAAGAAGGAAGGAAGGAAGGAAGGAAGGAAGGAAGGAAGGAAGGAAGGAA